CAATCAGAACACAGCCAAGCTCCCACCCAATCAATTCATACCCCCACTGGCAGTTAAAAGGAAGAAACAGCTAAGACCACACATTGCTCCTCGAAGCACGAAGCCGAAAGCACCAGCCTAAAGATGAAGAATGGGACTTCGTCGAAACGTCGCCAAGACACTTCCAATTTTACGCAGGAGAAAACCCGAACAACCAAAGACCTACCTACCTACCTACCTACCTACCTACCTACCTATCTATCTATCTATCTATCTATCTATCTATCTATCTATCTATCTATCTATCTATCTATCTTACTACACTATTTGTATACCATATTTACTACATTGCTATACTATCATATATGTATTATATTTGCTATTTATATAATATATTTTTTTATACCAAAACTTGTGTCACCGTAAATATATTGGCAATAAAATTCATAACATAGTGGCATTTTGTTTATTACTAAAGGAACAGATTTGAAAAATCACTCTAGAGCAGGGGTGTCAAACTGCCGGCCCATGGGCCGGATGTATCATAGTGAAACCGCACCCTCCCCATTGCCAGCAATGGCAAAAAAAGTTGTGATACATCGCAACACATCACATGATGTTGCAAGTTTGACACCCCTGCTCTAGAATAACAGCAATTACAACTCACACAGACAGAAAACTAAAGGTGATGTCTAACTTGTAAAAAAACCCTGCAGTAATAAAGGAAGGAAATGAGAAAAGCAGTAGAGAGAGAGAAACAGAAAACTATTTGAAGGAAATGTTACCAGGCTAGTTTTTAAAAAACACAAGAACTGTTCTCTAATTCTCTAGTTCTCCAATTATCCAGGTTAGGCCATGCTGGTTTTTTCTGAACAAGGCTTAAATAAAAAAATCCTTTATCAGTGTCATTAGGGTAGAATTTCTAGAGCCTTATTCAGCAGATTATGAAAGAGCCCTTAAAAAAGCATAGGTACATCTTTCTGCCAATATAAACCTCCAGAAAAAACCTTTGTATTTATTCTCTAGAACAGTGGCCCCCAACTTTTTGGGCATCAGGGACCGGTTCCATGGAGAGAGGTTTTTCCGTGGACCGGAGGGGATGTGGTTTTGCGTGCTACAGATGACACTTGTTTACACCAGCCACTTTCTGGTATGCCGTGGACCAGTGCCAATCCACAGACCGGAGGTTGGGGACCCCTGCTTTAGAGCAATAATTTGATGTCCTCCTGATTCTTTGAACTGTAACTCTCACCCAAGATGTTCACTGGCCATGATACTTGTAAATGGTGGTTACTGTAATCCATGAAGGATACTAATTTAAATGTTCTTGTGATGAAATATAGTTACCATTTTATGATTTGATATCAGGCACAACTAAATGTACATATCCTTCAGACTAAATGAAATAAGAAGCATATTGTGGTCATAAGTTAAGGACTACCTGTAATTTTTATGTGAATGAGGCTTAAGGATAATGCATTCCCTTCTTCTAATATAGCCATAAAAAGGTCAGAAATTTCACTTCCATCTGTGAATTAACTGGTGATTATAAATAATTAAGTTAGTCAAGATAAGAAATCCCAAGTGTTTAAAATTGTAAATAATGGTTGGATTAAGAGCCACTTTTCATGGTCACTTGCATTTTTGGTTACCTCTCAACTGCTCTACTACACAGCTTTCATAACATAGGCATCTTGCAGGTTTATAGATTGTAACCTGTAGATTTTCTCAGCCAATTAGATCACAATGTTGAAAATTCTGGTGCCTAGGTTTAGAAAGACTCAGCATAAAAGGTGAATTCAGCCAAAGCCAAACTACAGTTAGTTACATACGGAAGGAAAAGCTTTGTATCTTTTCTCAGCCACACCAATGGAGAAGAAAAGCTGATGGAGCTTAACTTGCTTCGTATGATTACACACTAAATTTCAGAACTCATTTGAGTCTATTGTTCAACATATACCATAGTTTAGAGATATACAAACTATAATTCTGTCTATGTTTCAGTATGTCACAAGCATTTTTAAATCTGGGAAATCAAAGTATAACTTTAGCCTGCTATTCAAATAGATTAAATGATTTTTAATCAATAAATTCCATATATTTTTCATGGTATATTATAACAGCTGGCAATATTTTCGTAACTCTTTGGGGGATTTCCATGAGAGTGACATTACAACTCTTAAAATAAGCCATTATAATTACATTTGTTCTACATACACACAGTATGTGGTTATTGAGTTATGAGCCAATTAACTATTATGCTACTGCTTTTCTATCAACTAATAATCATTATTAATACTTTGGTATGTGCTGCAATTTATGTCAAGCTTTTTAAATAATTAAAAAGTTATTTTCAGGCGACACATTTTCAACTAGTTAATGGTGAAAGCCAATGTTGAGCAGCTTCATGAATTTACTGAAAATCTAAAGTAAAAGTCAACTAAAGTTAATTCAGAATAATAGCAACCTATTATGACGTTTGTGGTTCTTTAAAAAATATTTTATAGTGAATGAACAAAATATGCAGTTTTAGAATGTTTTTCCTCTATCTCTGTACAAATAATCTAAAGTGAAGTGTGTAAGCTAAATCAAAATAGCATACACACAAGGAAGAAACTGATCTAATAGATGAGATCAGTTCCAATTATTACATCATTTGGCTAAAAACTAAGAAACATATATTGCAACAGACAATAATGCCTATTTTTTAAAACAACTACAGCCTATTAATCACAAGCCTGCTGTTAAGTAAAGCAGACTTCCAAATGTACGTTTATTCATATTTCAATGATCTTAGATCATAATTTCTCTGGAAAGTTTATAATATAATAAAAAATGGAAATATAGAAGATCATTATAAATATAAAAACATTTTTTTTAAAAAATTGTCTTCTATACAAATTGCTTACTTTCCAGCATTCTAAACAATAAAGGCTCAGGCAAAAAGAGACAAAGTATAAGAGCTAATAGCAATACATCTGGGATATGCTGATTCAGGATTCTGAATAGGTATTATAGGAATTTTGCTAAAAACTTCAGGATTCAAGATCAGGACAATGGACAGCAACCCAGCATCTAAGAGTAAAAACAATGTATGCTCCTTCTGTAAGTCCAATCATTTAGACCAGCGGTTCTCAACCTGTGGGTCGCGATCCCATTTGGGGTCGAACGACCATTTCACGGGGGTCACCAAACAACGCAATCCGCCATTTTTTTGTCAGCTGGCGGCACTGAGCATGTGCGCGGCACCGCGCATGTGCGCCACGTATGGAAGTGCCGCCGCACATGCGCGCCGCGCATGAGTGGCGTGTCCTTATGACCGGGGTCGCCACCAAAAAAAGGTTGAGAACCACTGATTTAGACTCTATATACGTTTTTATAGATTTAGTGGTCTTTTCTTTGAAGACAACAGGAATTGGGCTTAAGGAAAGGGGATTTTGATGAAAATCTTATGTTTCAAATATTATGTTTGAATCTGAAAAGCATTCATAAAAGAGTAGTTCAGAATATACTCACTGGTGAGATTTGAGTTAACCATGGCTAACCAATCCTGCACAAGTGAGCACTAACTCTAGTATATTCTGCTCTCACAGAATTATGGAGTCTAAGGAATTATTCCTGAATGGCCTGGAGGATTTACCAAGTGACACTGGTTGATAATTTTGTTGAGGATCTCTATTCATGGTAAAATAGCAAATTAAATGGGCCAGTGATAGTTATCATACATTCAAAATACCATCAGGTTGCCTGGTTAATCTTATGCTGACTCTGGATGGGATCACACTTGGGTTCTGGATTCACAACTTCTTTATCAGCAGACCAAGGGATGTTTGTCATGTTTCAATTAATATATCAGTTGCAGCCTTTCCAAGAGTGGGCTGGGACTAACTCATGACATTATCTCAAAGTTTTATTTTACAATGTACTCTACTTAACGAGTTTTTTTTAATGTTTTTAAAGGGCATTTCAAAAGTGTATCAAGAATATACAGAGCAGCCTACTTGCCAGTTGGTGAAGCCACTCTATCTGGTGACACAGGTATCAAGGATGATGTTTTTATCAATAGCTTTCTGAATAGAACTGAGTGCTGGTTTTAACTTATAAAATCCTACGTGCCTTGGTTCCCTGTTACCCAAAGACCTTCAGACCGAATCTGCTTGTTCAGTGTTCTCCATCAAAAAAGAGACATTTTGAATTTCTCCTTTGAAACAAAGCTGATAGAACTTAGGATCAGGCCTTATCAGGATATCTTTCTCTCTGCAGTGGTCCAGCTCCTAATATTCAGACAGCAATCCTAAGAATGGCATCAAGGTGACGAAAGCAGTATTGATCTCTGAGACACTTGGACCCTAAGCACTACTGCATGTGCTTAAAAATAATTCTTATGTTTTATTGTGATTTTAATTATTTTATGGAAATAGCTGTGGGGTTGTTTGTTTTATTTTACTGACATGAACTATTCAGAATGACCAAACATACTTTTGAAGATTCTTTCATATTTTATAAAACATCTATAAAGATAAGTGGAAGGCTTTTGTGAACAGTGCTGAATCTTCTATTTAGAACAGGGCTTTTCAACCAGTGGTATGGGTACCACCTGTGGTACATTGGCACCTGGCAGGTGGTACGTGACTATCCTAGAAAAGTGGTAGCGGGGGAGGGGAATGAGAGGGCCGCCAGGCGGGCAGGCAGGTGTCTTGCTCGGCTGTGCCTGGGGGGGGCACTTTTTTCAGTGCCATTGTAACTTCGAACAGTCATTAAGCGAACTGTTGTAAGTCGAGGACTACCTGTACTTTATCACTTTTTCCCTTTTTTTTGTCATCAAGTTTTTGACACCTTGCTAGGCAACTGGTGGTACTCGGATACTGCCATATCCTAAAAGTGGTACAATGGGTGAAAAGGTTGAAAAGCCCTGATTTAGAACAATAAATCAAGTGATAAAAAGGTAAAAAGAAGCAGGTGAATTCATAGGAAAAGCACAGACATGAATGGGTGAGTCACATAAATTACCTTTGTCTTACTTTTCATTAGAAAGATCAGATATCCTTTCAGATGACACCATTTCTCTTCTGGCTCTGTGTGGAATAAAAACAGTTTTAGTATGAATATTCTTTCTTGATGCATTGATTCTTAAAAATAATAAAACTGGTGAATCATTACTTAAAAATACACTTCATTGATAGCTGATATAAGTTAGACTTTTACACAGGCCTTTTATGCAGAATGAATATGTAGCAAGACAATATTTTTACTACAATATTCATTATTTATTACTACCATTCCATTCTATAGAACACCCCAAAATAATTATATTTGCAAAATTAGATGACTGCATGGCATTAGTCTGGCTTTAAACGACTTTATTTACTATACCATACATAATTATCTATTTTTGCTTTTGGGACATACCCAATAGGGATTAGGTGCCCTAAACAGAGCCACTGGATGGCTATCAGGGGATGCAATAAAGTGGAGGAAATATTGATGTTTTGCCATTCTTACTGAGATTAAGAAGTGCAAAAAGCACTTCACAATCAGCATGCAGAGAGTGGCTGCAGAGGAACAATACGCTCCAAGGCTTCAGTCACTCACTCATCCCAGGCAGAGATTAGGGCCTCAATCAAACTGCCCATCAGAACCTCCGGAGAAAATCCCAAGCTCTCTCTGGAATCCCACTTGAGCCATCAATTGCATGGATCAAACAGGCCCTGTCTCTCTACAGCAGCATTTCTCAACGTTTGTGTGACGGCGACCCCCGTCATACGAACGTGCCCCTGAGGAGGGAAAATGGCGGATCACATTGTTTGGCGACCCCTGTAAAATGGTCGATCGACCCCAAATGGGGTCGCGACCCATAGGTTGAGAACCGCTGCTCTACAGGAAGGCATGAAAGAAAGAAAGAAGGAAGGAAGGAAGGAAGGAAGGAAGGAAGGAAGGAAGGAAGGAAGGAAGGAAGGAAGGAAGGAAGGAAGGAAGGAAGGAATCTGTCCATGGCAATAGACAAATATTAATATACTCCACTACCGGATCACATCTCAACCTTCCTGAGAAAAAAACAAATATGTGTGGCCTGTAGTATAAGTTGAACAATCAATGACCCATGAAAGGTCCATGGAGGTCATTAACTGTTTCCTTAAGCCAAATTTCAGTCAGAATGCTTCACATCTGGTTTTGTGTGGACTAAAGCCTATAACAATTCATGGCCACTCCTTTTTCCCATCGTGGACTCTTGTTTGGTACAGAGCAGGAAACCTGGATATAATTTCTGAGAGGGTAACCTCTTCTCTAGGCTAAATCTGGTCTCAGTAAAATCTGCCAGATCTGTGTCGTCCTCCAAGATAAAATCATGGAGGACACTTTTGTTACACACCAAGCTAGCTTTCAGATGCTCCAATTCACACATATCACAATGAACTAAAATTTAATTTTTTTACTTTATAACTGTATATTATATGTGAACCACATCTATTCACTAACCAAAGAAGAGCATTTTCTTCTTGCTTGCAATCAGCAGAAAAATTAGCCATTTTTCACCCAAAGCAAGGTCCCAATAACTTAAATTATAAAATCCTCTAAAAATCTAAGTGGAAACACTGGTTCTAAGATTGGGGAAGGTGCCTAACCTTTCTTCCACATATTCGGTTGTGCAATTGCATGTTTGTCGATAGATAAACACCTCTAGCTTCATTGATCTCTTTCCACCCTACATTCAAAACCATGTCAGAAAATATGATTAGTCTGTTTCTAAATTAAACATAAAATAAAGGTATTTTTCACCTATATAAAATATTCCAGTTAACAGCCAATAACAGGACTAATCTGCCAGCAGAAGCCTAATTCACCAGTTATGGCAGAAGAGCAATTACTTCAAAAGATGTTTAGTAGCACTCAATCATTAGCAAAGAATGGATTACACTGAGAAATCTGTGAATAAGACTGTAAAGCTGACAAGAGCTACCAAACACATGTTTGCAGACAATTGACAATTGCCAGTTATTTTTACTTCTATATTTGCCATTTCTGAACATTCTGCATATTTCCTCTACAAATTTCCTTCCTTATCAAAACCAGATTATAACCTTCCAGCCACGAAAATCAATTCATTAGTATTATACTGCATCCAGCTGTTTTGCCCTTCATTGATTATAGAAAGGTCTATGACTGTGTCAATCACATCAAACTATGGAATGTGCTTAGAAAAGTGGGAATCCAAGAACATCTCATTGTTCTCATGAGAAACCCACATACAGCACAAAAAGCGAAATGGCAAAACAGACTGATCCCAGGTTGGCAAAAGAGATAACCTGTATATTCTCCCCTTCTTTATTTGGTTTACATGTTGAATACTTCTTAAGGTAAACTAGACAGGAAGAAAATGAGAGTGGTTTCAAAATTGTTTGAAAAAACATCAATAACTTGCACTATGCTGATACTATTCTAATTAAACATGCAAAAAAATTGCAAGGTCTATTAATAAAAGTCAAGAAGCATAGTAAAAATGGGACTAAACTTAAATATAAAGAAGACCAAACTAATGATAGGCAGTACAACAAACAGACTAAGAATTGAAGATATCAAAGTAGTGGATAATATCTGCCTTTTAAAGGTTAACCATTAACAGTAAAAGAACAAGCAGTCAAAAATATCCTGCAAACTAGCACTTGATAAAGCAGCCATAAAGGCCTTAGAAAAAAATATTATCAGATGTTGTGATGTCTACAACTACAAAGATCCGAACTGTCTCTGCCATTGTATTCCCTGTAACACATTATAGAAGTAAAAGTTGGTCTTTTGCAATATAGGATAGGAAGAGGATTGATGCTTTTGACCTTTGGTGTCAGAAAAGACTCCTGAAAGTATTGTGGGCAACACAAGAAAAGGAGCATTGGCTTACCTTGAATGCCTTTTCTCAGCATGATGATGAAGAATCCACCAATGGGTTATTTCAGTCCTCCTGCCCAATCAGACTAAGTTGTCAAGTGTCATGCCCCTCTTTGTCTGGGACCTCCCAGTTTCATCGACGGTGTAGCCAATGATAACAGTTCGACATGATGACTCTCAAGCAGGTATCCAGAAAAAACACAAGAACAGGCCCCCAACCCAGACCTAACTAACCACTAGATGGGAGGGCGTGGATTCTTCACCATCATGCTGAGAAAAGGCGTTCAGGTAAGCCAACGCTCCTTCTCCAGCATGATGACTGAAGAATCCACTAATGGGACGTACCAAAGCTTCCCGAGTCCCTATGGGTGGGGTTCAGTTGGGGCCGGTTCCCCTGATGGTGTGACTACTTGTTGTAAAATACATCTACCAAAAGTGGCCTCAGCCGACGCAAATTTGTCCAGACGGTAATGTCTAATGAAGGGTGAAGGCGAAGACCATGTCACCACCCTGCAAATTTCTTCAATGGACGCTTGGGTTGCCCACGCCGCCGTTGTGGCAGCACTGCAGGTTGAGTGAGCCATCACATGAGTAGGAACTGGCAAGGCAACTGAGCCGTACGCACTTGCGATACAAACCCTGATCCACCTACTTATGATGGAAGCTGACACCTTTTGGCCCATTGAAGAAGGCTGAAAGGAAACAAACAAGGCTTCCAACTTACGGAAAGGCACAGTGCGCTTGATATAACAGCGTAAGGCTCTCCTTACGTCAAGTGAGTGCCACTGCCGTTCCAAGTCATGCAATGGGTGAGGACAGAAGTCTGGAAGAATGACCTCCTGCGCTCTATGGAATACTGTATTTATTTTTGGAATAAATGAAGGGTCCAGTCTAAGAACCACTCTGGCCTCATGAAACATGCACAGGTCCTTTCTGATCGATAAGGCAGCCAATTCCGATATGCGCCTTGCTGAAGTAATTGCAATCAGGAAGGAGACCTTGAGTGACAAGTGCCGTAAGGAACATGTTCTAAGTGATTCAAAAGGAGACGAGGTTAGTGCCTGAAGAACTCGAGGTAAGTTCCAAGAAGGATACCTATGAACCACAGGAGTCTACTATTAGTGACTCCTTTGAGGAAGGACCGGATGGAGGGGTGTCGTGATAAGGACTGTGAGGAGTCCCATGAGAGTACAGAGGAGAAAGCCGCTAACTGTCTGCGGATAGTATTGGGCGCCAACCCCTTGACGCCCTCCATTAAATATTCAAGCACCCTGGGAATGGTTACCTGTGACAGACTCACGTGATTCCTGTTGCACCAGTGACAGAAGTTCCTCTACGTATGGTCATCAATACGGTTAGTCGCCGATCTCCTGGCAGCCTGGATCATATCTATCACCTCCGCCGAATACGATTCCCTAGACAGGGTGCGGCGTTCAAGTGCCAGGCGGTCAATGGAAGCCATTGGGGGTCTGGATGCTGAAGACCCCCCTGCGTCAACTGTATTCAGTTGTCGGGAATCCTCCACGGGGCTGAGGCTGAAAGGCTCACCAGGTCTGCAAACCATGGCAGTGAGGAGCTATAAAGATCACTTCCGCCTGCTCCTCCAGGATCTTCCTGATAACTGCTGGAAGCAGAGGCAGTGGGGGAAAAGCGTACAACAGACCTTGCGGCCACCGGCTGCACATGGCATCCGCCCCCTCTGCTCCCCGGGAGGGGAACCGAGAAAAGAATCTGGGCAGCTGGATGTTCCCCGGCAAGGCGAACAGGTCCACTATCGAACGACCGAGATCTCCCTGAAGATATCTGGATGTAACATCCACTCCAAATGATCCACTATCGACCTGCTGAGGAAGTCTGCCTGCCGATTTGCCTCTCCCGAGATATGCTCGGCCCTGATGGAGAGCAGGTGTTTCTCTGCCCAAGAGCTCAATGCTCGAGCCTCTGTCATGAGGGACGTGGACTGGGTGCCCCCTTGCCGATTCACGTGAGCTTTTGCAGCCACGTTGTCCATCAGGACCAGCACATGTTGCCCCTTGATTACTGAGTGAAAATGTTTGAGAGCTAGGTGGATCGCGCTGAGCTCCAGCCAATTTATGCTGTGCCTCAGGTTTGTCTTTGACCACTGACCCTGAGCCATCTGGGTTTGGAGGTGTGCACCCAATTGAAGAGACTTGCGTCCGTGGTCACACTGATG